AGGGTTTTCCAGCAGCCACACCTCTTGACCCGGGGGTAGCACTATCTCCTCAAAGCACTTGATGTAGGCCTCCGTGTTGCGTCTGAAGCCCTCACCAATAAATCCTGAAGTTCTTTTCTTATCAAAACATCAAGAGTAATATTATATATATATATATATATATATATATATATATATATATATATATATATATATGGTGTGTGTCTGTGTCTCGAATAAATAGTTCTGTTAATAAAATTTGAAGAATGAAAACACAACAAAATTATAACCTTTGACTAAATTAAATTACGAAGTGAGATATTTTAAAGTCGGAATTTTCGGACACGCCTGTGTCCTTTCTCAATGAAATAAGTAATAAATAATGAAGTGGGACTTCCATGGAATGTTGCTGTTGCTTAGAGCGTTACCTGCGGAAACTATATTCTGAGTAAAGTCAAATCTTTTTTAAGCCTTTTAATATATATATATATATATATATATATATATATATATATATATATATATATTAATTAAAGAATATCAAACATAGGTAATAATTTTATTTAGAGGTGATAATTTTTTAATTTATTTTTATTTATAGGTATAATTCTTATTTCATAAAAGCTGTTTTTTCAAGTTCAAATGAAATTAAAAAAAAATATTACCTATGGCAATTTAAGTGTTTGATATTCTTTAATTAATAATAATTTTGCTCTGTCTCTTGACATAGTGTTCTCCCTGGATCTATATCCTCCTGGAAATTCCATACGGATTGCCATATTATATATATATATATATATATATATATATATATATATATAATAACAAACAAAAAGGTAAAATATAACTTAGCCGACGTATTTCATGTTCTCGTAGACTTTATCAAGATAAATATTATGATCTTTTTTTGCAACAGTTATTTATAAACATTTATATTCCGTGCTAATAAGAATATGGACTGGACAAGCATGGTGGATAACTAGTAAATGGTTTATTGTAGAAACCAGTACAAAAGCAAGGAAGTAATAGTTATGCGCCCGGTCGTCGCAAGTCAGTACAGTTGTGTGCGTGCTGCTATCGGAAGGCCGTTAGTTCTCGCAGATCCCAGCGCGACGCTATTTAGTAACTGCCCCCACGCAGTCACATGTGGCACAAGGCCGAATTTAAAGTGGGGTTCCAGAGCCCCGAGGCGTGGCCAAAAGATCCCCGTAGACCCCGCATAAACGGGATCGGGTCTGTCTACCTTCCCAGACGAAACTCTGCCCTTCGGCATAGCCTCGTCCGGGTTCCTCTCTGCCCGAAGGCAGAGAGTTCGACTAGCGCAGCTGAGAAAGATCCCAGCGCGACTCTACTGTCCGCTGTCCTCACAGATACTTATAGGTGATTACCACCTATAATGCCGCCACTCATGGGGGTGGCAGGTTATTCCATTACATCATAAACAAAAAAGACAAACTGAAAAGTCAAGGTAAATTATGGAGGATGCTAAGTGACGTAATTTAATGCCTAATAAACAAGTGAGTAAATTTGTTTTTCTTTTTTCAATAATGTAAGTAATATTTATATTATTTTAGTTTGGAATCAATTAATCATACTTATTATAAAACCCAGGATATGTGTGTGTGTGTGTGTGTGTGTGTCTGTATGTTTATATATTGGATCGGATTTCCTACATTTTTCAACCAATTTCAACAAAACTTCACAGGACCACATAAAATTATCTTGCGGTGGTTCTGACAGCGCTAAAAATTGGAAAAACACAATTGTTTTTGCACGAAATCAATTTGAAAACATGATTAAGAGACATCGCGAGAATGAAAGGGGGGACAACTCATATCGAGTTATACTTATTATAAAACCCAGGTTGTGTGTGTGTGTGTCTGTGTTCGTTTATATATGGGATCGGATTTCCCACATTTTTTCAACCGATTTCAACAAAACATCCCTTTATTTTGGCAGGTAGTGTTTCTTATTGTCTTGCACACTTTTTTCTTTATTTTTACATTCAGAATGCTTTAAAAATTCCATTTATAAGACAATTGTTTATAATAAAATTCTATTCAATCGGTAGACTCATAACGATTGAAAACAATGTTTTTGTTTGAGTTTGGGTTTGACCAATTCGTAAAAAAAAAACCCAAAAAAAAACTAATTAAGACATGCGTGTCCGTCAACCTTAAACAATAATCTTTGTCAATTTTATTTTTCAGTCTTTATGATGGTCGATACTTGATCTATCTCTTACTGTTACATCCCCGGGACAATAGTAATGGAGATATTTGAAAGAATTTGGGCCGCAGATTTATATTCTTATAAGATTCGATAGCAGCACTCTCGAGAATTTTCCGTCAAAGTTGCTTTCTCTTTTAATAAGTGTGGCATTCTTTAGATCAAAGTTTTATTTGAACTTATTTCTATGTACATCTAATCTATATCTATAATTCTCAAAATGTATGTGTGTCTGTGTGTCATCGGATGTTTTTTATGCATTTCCACAGTCTTCATCCGATTTCGATGAATGTTTTTTTTTATTGATAGATAATTCTTCAGAGCCGGTTTTGCGTCCAAATTGTTGGTGATAATGGCTCTCCACTACTTCCTGCCCGTTATAACTCTCAGCAAATGTTTTACTATTTACTCTCTGTTCTTGTATATATAAATCAATGAATATTTTAAATCAATGAAAGTTTTGAATTTAACCGTTTTTGTTTATTTTTCTTTTATCAATTATTGTCATTGATGTTAACTTGCGAAAGATGTATAACTTTAAAGAAAGGAAATATTTAAACAAAAATGGTCCGCAGATTTATATTCTGATAAGACTCGATAGCGGCACTCTTAAGAATTTTCCGTCTATTTAAGATGCTTTTTCTTTTAATAAGTATAGCATGCTTTAGTTCGAAATTGTATTTGAACTTATTTCCGTATACATCTAATGCATTTGATAAATTGCTGTGTATAAATCCTTTTGTGTTCATAGATACTTTTTTTTTTAATTATACTTATTATTTCTGTAAGTTTCCCCATTGTATTGGGAGTAGCAATTGAGACGGTTCGTTTTATATATATATATATATCTATTAAAGATATTTTTATGTTTAACATTCTTTTTATAGATACAAGTATTTAAGCAAATGCTCTGTTTATAATAAACAGTATTAAATAACATTTACCGGCCTGAATGTCCGAGAAATTTTCATAGAAAATATTCGTCCTTTGACAGGATTCGAACCTGCATCCTATACCGTCATTTTACGCTGACGTGCCTTAACCGACTCGGCCACAAAGGAGCAAGGTCGAATTTACTGCTTATAAACTTCAATCTTCCATGAATCTCGTACATTCATAACTGCTCATGTCGTATCAAATGTAAACAAATGACGTCATACATTAAGAATTGGACAAGGTCCGACAATTTATTAAAGACATTTTTATGTTTAACATTCTTTTTATAGATACAAGTATTTAAGTAAATGCTCTGTTTATAATATAAAATAAAATTTCTCGGACATTCAGGCCGGTAAATGTTATTTAATACTGTTTATTATAAACAGAGCATTTACTTAAATACTTGTATCTATAAAAGAATATTAAACATAAAAATGTCTTTAATAAATTGTCGGACTTTGTCCAATTCTTAATGTATATATATATCTACCTCAAAATTATTATTATGATAGGTATTTTTGGTCTTGAACATATATATATATTTTTAAGCATTTCACCCCAAGCAAGGCGGGAGTGCCACTACCACGCAAGGGGGTTACAGAGGGTTGGGAACAAGAGTAAAGAGGCGTGTTTGAGGAGAGGATAATAAGAAGGATGGGGAACAGGATAAAGGCTTTAGAAGATGTCGATTGAATATTTGAAGATGATAGCTATCAGGGAAGCAAGCAAGAGGAAGAGAATACAACAGAGGGGAAGTGCGAGTAGAAGAGACAGTTACATTTCACTGTTTCGACAGTGAAAAGGTGGGACTGAGATGCCAACCTATTAGCGCGCTTAAATTCATGCAGTCTGGGAACCAGCTAAAGTAGCCTGTCGGAACAGCTACTGTGAAAATACTTATAGAAGAGACAGAGGAAAGCCACGGCACGTCGGTGGGAAAATGAATGAAGACTAGATGCCAGATCAGGACCTATCATATTGCATATTCGTCTCTGGATTTTGTCGAGGACCTCGAGACTTATAGCAGGGGCACCGGAACATATATGACAACAATATTCCATGCAAGGACGAATAGATTTGAAGGGATGGACTCAGACGAGAAAAACTTTCTGCCCCGACACAGAGAACCAACTTTCTTTGCGGTAGATGAAGCTATTGGTTCAATGTAATTGTTCCATCTCAGGTCAGCGGACAGCGAGAGACCAAGCAGGCTTAACCAAGCGCTCTCGAGGAGTCGGGCATCAACCATTCTGATAGGAGGCACGGAGGGTTTTCTATGGTGGGTAAATGAGAGCTGTTTCGTTTTAGAGGCATTAAAGTTTACAAGTTTACTATATGTTCTTCATCAGTATAAGTATTTCTATAAAGATGTGCGTTGTTTGTCATTACCGTAATTTTTTCATTATACTTTTAAATATAGTTTTGTACCACTTGCACTCCCTGAAGATGATGTTGAGAGAAGATCGAAAGTACTTGGGAAATGAAAATAAAAGAAATTTAAACATCTATAGCACATTTCTCTCATCATTTAACATCAATAGATGGAAGGTTATTCGTGAGTATGAACGGATTTTATTAAAAATTAGCAGGCATAATGTCTGTGATTTATTCAATCACACACACATACAAACACACATATATGTTATAATCTTTTATTCATATCTTTTTTTTTTATTAAGCCCATAATTTATCATTAATTATTCATTATTCTGGTACGGAATAAATAAATAATTTAAATATGATGCTTACATGACATGTAATGGAAGAAAACCAATTGACAGAGATATTTTGAGAATGAACCACCCGGAGAGAGCCTCTTCCGATCACGTCACAAAAGTGTCTTTATTCTGCAGATGTCCCTTACGAAGATCTCACATCTCGATCCGGCCGACAACAATTCGATTCTTGCCAATTCAGCCCGCTCGTTTTTCCTTTCTCAGCAGCGTAAATGCTTTTCACCAAAACGGTGTCCAGGGTGGCGAGAAGCAGACGACATTTTTGACAGCTCTGTACACGGCTTTCTATTCGTAAACGTTTTCACAGCTGCAAACCGATATTCAAATTGGCTGTTTCCCCGTTAGCTGTTTATTTACGAGCAAATCGCGAACGCGTTGGGGAAAATACGTTATGGCGGGTAGCGACTGATAACATGGCTAGCATTTCAACTGGCAATAAAACACTGCGGAATCTGTCTTTCTTTCTTAACCCAATTTTTAAATCATTCATCGTTATTCTTTAGTTTCGCAGTTATTTCTTTTTCGTTTATTCATTTTCATTCACCATCTGTTCCGACATTTTATTTTTCCTTTTTCATGGCCTTCTTTTTTTTAATTACTTTTTCATTCTTTCTTTTTTTTTATCTTTCTTTCTTTCTTTCTTTCTTTCTTTCTTTCTTTCTTTTCTTTTCTTTTCTTTCTTTCTTTCTTTCTTTCTTTCTTTCTTTTTCTTCTTCTTCTTCTCTCATAATTGTTTCACTTTCTTCTGCTTCTTGCCCCTCTTTCATAATTCTATCCCCATCCTCCCCGTCTTCTTTCTTTCTTTCTTTCTTTCTTTCTTTCTTTCTTTCTTTCTTTCTTTCTTTCTTTCTTTCTTCTTCTTCTTCTTCTTCTCTCATAATTCTTTTCTCCTTCTTCTTGTTAGCCTCGCATAATTCTATCCACATCCTCCTCGTGTTTCTTTCTTTCTTTCTTTCTTTCTTTCTTTCTTCCTTTCTTTCTTCCTTTCTTTAATTTTCTTTCTTTCTTTTTCTTTCTTTTTCTTTCTTTTTCTTTCTTTCTTTTTCTTTCTTTCTACTTACTGTTATATTTTTCTTTTTTTATTTCTCTCTATTTTCTACTTTGTCTTCTTCATTTTTCTTTTTTCATTCTGCGTTGATTTATTTATTTCCATTTTCCACATCATTTTTCTTCCCCTTTCCATTTTCTACTTTCTTTCTTTCTTTCTTTTTCTTTCTTTTCTTTCTTTCTTTCTTTCTTTCTTTCTTTCTACATTCATTTCTTTCTACTTGCTGATATATATATATATATATATATATATATATATATATATATATATATATATATATATATATATATATTTTATTTTCTATTTTCTATTTTTTTTTCTTTCCAGCTCCTTTTTATTTTTTTTCTTTCGTACTTATATGCTTTTCCGTCTTTCTTTTTACTTCATTTCTTTCTATTTTATATTCTTTTTCTTTTTCTTCTTCATTTTGTCTTTTTTCTTTTAATTTTATTTCTACATTTTCTTTTTTCTATCTTTCTTCCTTTTTCTATTTTCTCTTTTTTTTTCTTTTCCTTCTGTTCTTTCATTTTTCTTCTTTCTTTTTCTCTTTCCTTTTTTCTTTTCTGTTCCTTCTATTCTGTCTTTATTTTTCTCTCTTCTTTTTTTTTTCTTTTCCGTTCCTTCAAAGCTCTCTTTTTCTCTTTTTTTCCGTCCCTTCTATTCTTTTTTTCTTTCTTTTTCTCTTTTCTTTTAAATTCCTTCTATTCTGTTTTTTACTCTTTTCTTTTTTCTTTTCCTCCCTTCTAATCTTTATTTCTCTCTTTTGTTCTTTTCCGTTCCTTCTATTCTTTCTTTCTCTCTTTTTCTCTTTTTTCTTTTTTCGTTCCTTCTGTTCTTTCTTTATCTCTTTTCGTTTTTTCTTTTCCGTTCCTTCTAACCTTTCTTTCTTTTCTGCTTTCTTTCTTTCTTTTTCCTTTCTTTCTTTCTCCTTTCTTTCTTTCTTTATTTTCTGCTTTCTTTCTATTTTCTCTTTCTATTTTCAAAGTAATTTCCTATTTGAATATTTCATTCCGACCGCCTTTTTATCCTCACACATTATCTTTTGCAATGGCGTAAATTGTACCATGGTGTTTTTATGCTTATACACACACGCATATATATATATATATATATATATATATATATATATATATATATATATATATATATTCGTTATAGTTCACATGTACCAAAGGGCACTCAAATAGATATTTAAAGAATATTGACAAAATTCGCAAGAACCATATGTTTTAGAAATCTAATATTCGCTCGTCCTAAAATAAACTTATTTCTGCATTCGAACCGCTAATCCGTGGTAAAAACTTCAAAAATTGTTCATAAGGCCACCAATTATTTAATGGTCTAATTATAGAAATGAAATACTTACATCCCCTGAATACAGCTACCTAATATTTCTCTCTCATGGTATTTATTCATCCAGTTACCCAAACGTTGAGGTGATGCAACACGATGTCATTTTTAATAATAGGTTGTCCATACGAATTGTCCATGGCCTAAGGACAAAAATTACCCAGTCTACACGACCACTGTAAAGCTGGGGTTGGTATCCACCCACCATTGCATCCTCAGTGCAATCAGATAGGCGCTGCCGCAGGGCTGGAATCCCATGGACTAGGTTTCTCGCTTTTAAGCGTAAGAGAGGACACTTTGACCACAGTCCGAAGGTCGGTAACAACAAATGGTCCCTCGCTGAAATTATTTATATAAACGCGCACTGATGTATGTTATGGAGCGCTGAGGTGATGGGTTAATGGTCAACATGCCAGTCCAGCCATTGGTTTGGAACCTTGCTGAGTGCGTCTATCGTTCAGGCTTTATATTTTGGCGTAGATATTAAGCTAAGCTTACTAAATAATTATACAGGCTTTAGCGAGTCCTAAATACGCGACATGTTCAAATTTTTTTTATTTTACGGATTATCAACTTGTTTGTAGGTTATTTAAAACCAGACAATATATTTAAATTTTAAAAGTTGTTTTTTTTAAGATAATAAGATTTATTTATACATGTCTTACTATTTAACCCATAGCTGGGGGACAAGTGGTGGATTCATAACTTTCCCTAGAGTATTTCGCGTAAGTGTCTATAACAAACCCGACTGGAATTAGAACTCGGCCTTTCAAGCTTAGATCACGCGGTATTCACATCCATTCATCCATCTAGGTATTCGACCTTGCTTAACTTTGGTAAGTAGAGAAGCACATCTATAAGAATTTAAGTAAAAAATATGTTTTTTGAATTATAATATACCTTTCAAGCAAGAAGTTTTTCTTCATAAGAATATAGATTTCTTGTCTGAAATCGATATTTCATAACTCTTAAATTAGATCATGATTTCATAAGTTATACAAATTTAATGACTGTCTGATTTGTTTTTTTTTATGGTTTATCAACATTATGAGGATTATTCAAACGCAGAGAATATTTTTAAATTGTAAAAGTTGTTTTTAGATGATAATGAATTACTGGTACAAGTTTTATTAATTAACCCATAGCTGGGGGACAAGTGATGGATTCATAACTTTCCCTAGAGTATTTCTCGTAAGTGTCTATAATAAACCTGACTGGAATTGAAAACTGACTCTTCAAGTATAGATCAAGTGATATTCCCAGGCAGTTACCCATCTGGGTTCTCGACCTTGCTTAACTTTGGTAAGTAGACAAGGACATCTAGAAGAATTTAAGGAACAATATGTGTGAGGAATAATAATAAAGCTTTCAGGTAAGAAGTGTTTATTCATAAGAATAAAGATTTCTCGTCTGAAATCTTTACTTCATAAATCCTAAATTAAATAAATCATGAAGAAGTTATAAGAATTTATTCAAATGAATTTTTTTTTTCGAAAATTTAAAAAAATTATTTGAAAGATCTTTGTTTAAAGGAAAATTTAGAAACAGACTACGTTTTATGTTGTGAAAAATAAAATTGGCTACGAGCAACTTGGAACGAAATTGGTGCCACATATTTGCGGAAAAAAATGACCGTTTTTATTCACAGTTTCATTTTAAGCTAATCCGGGCAAAAAGAGGATTAATACAGATTAATTAAAATTAGACAATGTTAAAATAAATACTTTACTTCTATAAAATTCAGTGTGACTAGTTAATAAATCCTTCGCATACCTTAAAAATAACTTCCTGAGAAATTCGCCTTCAAACATCTTGAGAAATGATTCCCAACGTGGCACGCATGCCCCACCGGTGGGGCATGGTAATATTTTGCTGGGTCATGCGTAGGATGAGCACCCTTCGGCTTACTATACCAACAGAATAAGGGGGCAATTCGAGAATAAGTTACTAATAGTTATTAAAATTAATTTGTTGTTACCATTTCCATCTTCATATTTAGCTGAATGTGGCTTTAGTGCTGTAAATGATTTGTTACTGAAGAAAAGAAATCGACTGGATATCACTAAATAAGGAGATTTGAGACTTAAGTTGACTAAATTGGTGCCTAATATAAAATCTATCTGTAGCAGACATGACGCACAAAGATCTCACTAACAGTCATTTTGTGATGAGCTCAAATTTCATTTTGCATTGTTATTTCATGATTAAAATGATCAAAGTATATTACAGAAAAAAGCTTTCATTCTAATATTTTATATTTCTGTCTTTCAGTTCTTTATCATATGTTTTGAAAAGATATATATTTAACTGTCTTTTTGTTTTTTTAAATTTTTTCCTTTCATGGACACCATTGTCTTTGGAGGCTTGTTTAGAGACCAAGTTAATGGCCTTTTAAGATTCCTTCACGTGAATTGCAATAAAATTTTGAATACGTAAGAATTAAATATTGCAGGGGGTGGGGCCATTATGATTTTAGAAATACCAAAGTGGGGAATGGCTCCAAATCGGTTGGGGACCTCTGTCCTAAAATAATACGGTGTTGGTTGTTTGTATCTGTTGTACCTGCTTTCCTAGTCAGAGATGGAAAAGCTGAAGTTTAAATATGTTTACATGAATAGATAAATTAATTTATCTTTCATCTTATTTTTGTTGCTTTCTATTAGAACTCTAAAAAGGTGGCAGTGAAATTAGTAACAATGATAATAATAATAATAATGTTTCATCTAAGATATTCATACAACTTTTAATGTCTACTACTTGGAAACAAACAATATGGTTCCGAGAAAATCTAACAGAAAAAAAAGGTAATTAATTATGTGACTAAATTCAAATTAATGGCCTTTTAAGCTTCCTTCCCGTAAATTGCAGTAACGTTTTGAATATGTAAGAATTAAATATTAAGGGTTGGGGGGAATCAGAATTTTAGAAATACCAAAGTGGGAAATGGTCCCAAATCGATTGGGAACCATTGGTCTAGAGCCAAGCCCATTACCATATATTTCAATTGCTGAAGACTGTTAAGACCAGTGTGAAGATATTGGCAGACAGGACGCTTTGTAGCGACAAGAGGTTAACCATCTTAAGGTGAGGTTTTGTTGAATGACGAGGCATCCACACTACGATTGAGGATCACTTCTGAAACGTGCATACTGACAACAGACCACGAAGACAACTAGTCTTTCGTTTAAATATCAACAATATATAGCGGTTCTGATTGAGGAATCGGAGTGCCGAGTTCGAATTTCAGTTGAGTTTATTACATTTACAGTCGTGTTCACTTACATTCAACACTCTTGGGAAAGGTATGAATCCATCTATTCTCCCCCCAGCTATGGGTAAAAAAGTGGGGCAGTCTGGGTCCGAGTCTGCCTCTTTTGACAAAGGCTAGAAGAAAGTAACTTCAAAAACAAATCCACCTCGCAAAGAGGAGGAACGGAGTAACCCGGTGCAAAAGGAATTGGTAAGCCTTTGCGCTATTTTGCCTTGAATGCCACCATGAACCAAAACTGTGAGGACGAAGGGGAGTGATGACCACAGCGGCGATGCTAAATGCGCTAACTGAACTTGATTATCACCAACATTACTGAGAACAATT